TGGTGACTTTAATAAAATTAACTTTAATAATTACTTATAATTGTACATTATAAAAGTTATAAAACAAGAGAAAAGGGTGATAAACAGGACAAAATTAGAAATTGCCATTTTCACTTATAACAATGATGACTATTTAGCTAGAATATATACATCCCAGAGTATCAGAAAGCTTTTTAAAATCCTGAATTGATATACAAACAAAGCTGGGTTCCTTTACAGTATTTCAAGAATAAGTGATCTTTTGAGCAGAATGTAACGGTTCTTTGACAACTCAGGACAGTGCTATCAAAAAGCCAAAGAGACACAGTGAAGAGCCGTCTACTGAATTTGCAGAAGGTTTTTAGAGAGGAACAAAAGTCTGGCTTAATTCTGAATCTGGACAAACACTCCTACCCTTGCAAAATGCACCAAAAATCACAAAGGACCAGAAGAGGGGTTTTTATGTGTGATCTGCAAGATTGCACCTCAGGCAGCACAGCACCCTCTATCACCACACTGAAACATTTTTTTCTCCACAAGACAGTGTGTCATATGCCAAATCAATATCATTCAGTCCTTCAGTACCTTCTCTTTCTTGCTCAGGATCTCACAGGACTGGGCCCCAAATGAGCAAGTGTCAGTCCCAGTGCTATTGATCAGGCTCAACCTAATCCTGGCTGATACATTATACTGCATGGGACAGTACAATAATGAGTCAAAGGACCCTAATGAGAAGAATTTCATACAGAAGCATGCATATATGATACATAAAATAAGGAATTCCTCCTTAAGGAACCAACATCAGCATGTCTAAGAACTGCTGAGCATTCAACCATTTTACACTGAGCCCCCTCAACAAAAATTAAGCAGATTCACTGACTGCATGACAGCAAAACACAACTGCAACCACTATCATTTAAAAATCCTAAATCTCCAGAAACGACTAGCGATTTTAGACATTTTGTTTTCTGAGCATCCAGCTTGATACAACTTAAAGAGGCTTGATCTTTGGCCAGGTTTGTGCTTTGAAAAAGCAATGACCATTAAAATTAGGCACTCATTTTGGAATTTACACACTTAGGTGCCTGCAACCACTAGTCATTTAAAAAAATGCAGCATTAGTCGTTAGTCAGTCACATAATCACAGCTATTAGATAAACCATTTGCTTGTCCTGCAACCCTAATTTAAGTCCTGAATGAAATTAATTAATGGGTCACTGTCTGCTCTGTTTTGCCATTTTGCTAATTTACCAAGCCCTCCTCAGGAGAGCCCCAGGGCTGGAATAGAATAGTGTCAAGTCCTATTTAGAATGGGGTAAGGGCAGAAATGAACAAGCAGGAAATGCTGTGGATCAAGAGTAAATTTACCAGGAGAACTAAATGTAGATGACAGGACTAGACTAGCAAAGGTGCTACAGGTTAAGATTGAATTGTATTGATGAAGCTGCAAGGAAAACAAGAACTGGAATACGAGGATGCACAGGTCAGCACTAGGAAACATTGGCACAGCTATGTGTGGGAACCATACCTTGTAATATCCCCGTTGTTCCCAAGGGATTAGTCTCTCATTTGAACAAGCACTAGTTTTCACCCGCTAATTTAAAAAAGAGATGAGAGATGAAACAACCCCTGAAAATGCTTTACATCAGGTGAATGCAAATGACAAGACTTGTGAGAAGTGACTAACTCCTGCAAGTTACGCCCACAAGCCCTGGTGATTGCTCACTCTCAGTCCTCACAACAAGCCCTTGCATTTCACTATGACTTGCCCAACAGCCTGAACAAGCCTGGTCCCTGGCTAGGTAAAAACACCACCTCTTTCCCAGCTGCCCCTCCAGAGCAATTTCAGAGGCCTGGACCAACCACAACGAGCACTGCATGAAAGTCCAGTGTACCCCCTACTCATTAAGGAGGGAGAGACAAATACTTACTGGAGGAGAAAAGGAGAAAGCAAATTAATTAATTCATCACTAAGACAAAACACATACAAATCTCCTCATTTCATCTGTCAACCAGATGAATATATTATTCAGCAGTGCAGGCAATGAACAGAGAGAGAAAAAAGGCTGGCAAGCCACTGGTGCAGGCTTTGGGAAAACAGCTGACCCAGCAGGAGGTTAAATAGCTGGAGGAGAAGGACAGGAGGGCTGTTTGCTGCTGTGAAATGGATAAATCCTCATCATATCTATGGTTCAAATAAACCCACCCAAAATGTGGCAGTGCAATGGATATTTTTCCTGCCGGCAAAATGGAATGCCATAAGCCCCGGCTGTAGAGGATGGGGATGTGGCTTTCCCTTCCTGCCCCGAGGTGAGAGACAGCCTGCTCTGTTTTGCAAGGTCCAAACACGGGGCCCCTGTTGGCTCTGCAAGTGAGGGATCCCCACTATTTGCAGAGCCAGCTTTGGTGTCTTCCTGTGCCAACTTGCATCTTCTCACCTGCTGACAAGGCAATAAACCTGGTACAAACAATCATTTTACAGAGACCTGCTTCTCTGTGATAGGCTGTGCTTGGTTTCAGCATGCACAGGTTGCAGCTAAAGCTGCTGGAAAGTACCAGCTTTGAAATTTCAATATTAACCCCCACAACACTGGTGCTGACTTCCAGCTCTGAGCCCCCTCCTGCCCCACTGATATCAAAGGGAGTTTTGCCAATGTGGACTCCAAAGGAAAGCTTAGACATCCATTCTTTATCTGCCTAAATAGCTATGTACTGTAGGATGGCTGCCTCCAAAGGGACTAACAGGGACTGAGGAGCATAACAGCCTTTACTGAGATACAGGAATCTAAGCTGCTTTCAAAATTGCTCCCGAATGCTCTGTCAGGGTGGGGCAGGTACAGAAGAGGTACTGGTGTGGAAAAGCAGCATAGACTGGGGGTTTGAGGCTTGCAAATACTCCTGTTCAAAGCCAATGGGAGTTGAGCAACTGAGTTAGAACAAGGCTCTTTATTTTTCATCCAGAAAAGAAATCAAAATCCCAATAGACAGCCAGACCCTTTCATGTACAGCCTGCTTCACACACACGCCTGCACACACATGGCCTCCCCGAGATCTGACTCCACAAAGCTGTCATGGGTCCAAATTATGAGCGCCTCTATCGCACAACAAGGAAGGAAAACACAAAAATAAACCAAGTGTGTGTTTTGGTAAAAGACCAGCTGTCTCTGCGGTCCCTTTCTCCTCCCTCTTGCTCATTCCTAGAGGGGATTCCATGCCAACCTTGCTGTATGCCATGATTGGGGGGGGAAATCAATTTCAGTCTGGCTCATATTTTGGCATCAGCTCACTGAGCCTTCTGCTTCCCTTGACTCATTGTTTCATTATGGGCACAGGGAAAATGCCCCGGGTCCCTGCATGAAGTTAACAACAGCTTCTGTCTTCCCCTGGACTCTCAAGTGAGGAATCTGCTGGTTTTTCAGGGGAGGTGGTGAAGTCAACAAGGAGATACGAGGGTTCACAGTGCCAGCTCTCACACAGAGAGGAACCTATTTACTCCCCCATGGACCATTCCCTGCCACTTTACATCAGGATTCTATGTAAAACATTCTGTTCTGTCTGTGACACTGTCCCGTTCACAAGCGGCCTGCAAACCAACTTCACCCCTACTCCTCACAAATGAGCTCACAGGCAACTGGAGCGGTATGTTCTGCACAGTGCCAAAGGACAAAAACCAAGAGGGGGATCTGCGAGAGGAGAAGCAAGGAGCACAGTCAAATCTGCTGGGCACAATGGGATGAGGGAAGGGAAGCCAAGGACTAGAAAAGACAGGGATGCTTCAAATTAGCGCTGTGCAATGGCAGAACTGTAGTAAGGACCAGGACAAGAACAAGAGCAGATGCACTGGCAGCGCTGTCTCATTCCTGCAGCAGGAACATGGGGGTCAGGCCCGGCAGGAGGTTAAGACTGGCAGAGCTGTAGAAGAGACCCCTGGACTGGAACGGCACTGAGTGCTGCAGATCTGAGCCCAAGCACACTGGAGGAGCTGCTGTCAACAGGGGTGAACTCAGGACCAAACTAGAAAGGAGACAATATAGGCTCAGGACTGAGCGCTAGTGGAAGTGTAACCAGGATCAGAACAGCACAAGGGGCACTGGCAGAGCCAGCACAGGGACAGAGCAGTGGGGAGTGCTGCAAGCCAGGATGAAAGCTGAGCCCGGAGAGGGAGCCCAGGGCTGGGCTAACAGGGGCTGCTGCAGAGCATCTGACAGCAGAGGGAGGCATAGGTGCGGGTGAAGGCATCCGCCCTCCATCAGGAGAGCTCCAATAAAGCCGCCAGTTCTCTCAGGCTCATTTGTACCTCAGGAGCCTGGCTCACCTCTGCCCTGAGCAGCACCCCGCGCTGCACGCTGGGCACCTGCCGGGGCAGCGCTGAGCTCAGCCACACTGGGCTTGTGTGAATCGGGGGAGGGCTTCCCTACGGCTACCCACAGCCCCTCGTGTCTGTGGTGCAGGCTCGAAAACCGGGGGACTGGCCCGAGCAGCCCGGGGAAGGGGCCATGCCCAGGCTGAAGGGAAGCGCCCGCGCCCACCCGCACCCCCGGGTCTGGCTGGGCCGCGGGGACCCGCCGGGCGTCTCCCGCCACCGCCC